TGAATTAGCAAGTACCAGAAAGTAACACCTCTCCGTGCTGTTTCAACAGACCATTACGGACACAGAAGTTGTAGGGAGAATGTGTCCTCTATGTTTTCATACTAGAGCTGAAACTGGCCACATGTGGGAGCAGGTTACAATGACAACGAACAGGGTAGTTGTATGTTCAACAGAAATTCAGCCAAGGTCACTGGATTTTAAAGTCTTAATGATTAGATGTATCAAGAAGATAATCTTGATTAGGCAGAGTATTAGCTTCATGGAATGAATTCTGAATCTAGGTTTAAAAAAATGGAGATAAGTGGCTGAGAAAACAGCAAAGAAACTCCAAATATAACTCGAAAATATTGGATTTAATTAGGGGAAATTGCTTTAATAAGGCTATTTGGACAGCTGGTGTAGTTGATAGAGAAGCAAACTCCTAATCTTAAGGTTGGGGTCTTATCCTCTGGAGATAACAGCTGGGGCCTTTTGTACCTATCAGTCCTGAGTTTGCTGGACACACTGGCAGCTTCTAAAGTTCTCTTCAGTTTGAGGAGAGCTTTTCATAAATTTATTTGGTGGGAGGCATTTGTGATTTTGGGGAAGTTTTTTCCAAACGAAAACCCTTTTCTAAAAACAAGCAGCACATTCTTATAGTAAAAAAAATCAGAAAAATATTAAAAATACATGTTGTCAAGTCTTTCTCTCATTCACCTCTTTACCCACTCCCACCCCTGCCCCATTTTGGTAACTTACTGCATTGGCTTCTTTATATATCCTTCCAGGGTTTCTTTATGGAAATATAAGAACATTTCTTTTTTTTTTTTTTTTGTATTTTATACCCTACTCCATTATTGCTTTTTTGAATCTATCAAAGTGTTATGAAAGTTTTCCATATCAGTACATAGAGGCTTTGATTTGTTTTATTTATTATTATTATCATTATTTTTTAACTGTTGAAGTGCATTCCATTGTGTGGCTTAACCGCAACTTAACTTTTAAACACACCTTTATAGACGGGCACCTTCTCTATACTTAATTTAAAAAAATACTACACATATAATCTTTTGCATAAAAACAGGCTTGCATTTTCAAGCAGGGCTCCTATTTATAAAAAGTAAAAAGCCATCTTATATGGAATACTTATGGAATAAATGCTTGAAGGAGGTAATTCTCTTTCTGTAACAATAGCTTCTAGGGAAGTCTCTCTATGTTCACATACTTAGACCACTAGTGGGAGCTTTGGGATGGACATCCACGACAGCATGGATTTTTCCATGAGTAGAGCATGCACTTTGAGCTTCAACAAAGCAGGGACATACCAAATGGTCTTTTGGGAAAGAATATATTACTAAGGAAATAAAAATACATACTGTAGTAGAAAACTCAGATTTCTTTAATCATTGTGTTATGAAGTGGAGCTGAATAACTCATGAAAGAGTATAAATCTTCATCTTTTGAGTGATTTAAAAAGACTATAAAATTAATCAAGACTATAAAAATCTTGATTGAGCCCACAGCAACTTGTGAGTTAGTGACAACCCACAATTGTCATAGAAAGTGAGTACTTAAAGAACGTAAATAACCTGACAAATGTTACCTTGCTTGTGAGGGTTAAAGTTGGTCTGATTCTCAATTAGGATCTTGGAAATACTGCACCTTTGTTACAGTGTCATCCAACAGGTAAAATATGATAATGTGGGTCAAATTCACCAAAGAAAAAGCACTTAGTGTATGCTAATGTCTTGCCCTTACTCACACCAGCTTCAGCTTGTTTTCTCAGGCTGCCCTCTGCCATCACGACCTCCCAGGTGCTGGTTCTCTTTGTGGAGGGTGGACAGATCAAGGGAACTGAAAAGGACTCTGCATTGCTGGCTTTGGAGTGTCTTCAGAAAGTGCTCTCCTACCTAATTTCTATTCAGCCTAGAATTGCCTCACTAGTAGTACATATTCCCTCTCTTTCAACCTGGCTCTAGTCCTGAGCAACTAGATTCCAAGCATGATCGTCATTTCCATCTGGTCGAGAGCAGGGATGAGTATAACAGGGCTGGAAGTTCTTCAAGTTGGACGTAATCAAGACTGGGATGTGATGAAACTAAAGATCTGGTAATCAAGGCTGCCACTGGAACCAGAGATTCTTATAGGATAATAAACCACGAATATTTCCCCACATATTTTTCTAACTCTACCTTTCAGGCAAAAGTTCCCAAAGAGAGATGCTGTGCCTGGGAGAAGAAAACTTAAAGAGTAGCCTCATTTTCAGTGATGGAGATATTTGTCTCAGAAAACAGGGAAGTTGGAATTCAAGGGCAATACACAGTAAGGAATTGAACTTGGCTTTTTTCTTGCTTAGAAGTCAGTCTCTAAGGATAACATGCAGGAAAGATGCCACAGTAACAGGTGCAAGAAAAATGAAAATTCAGATGCTCTGTCCTGAATAGCTTTCTTTTGTCAATTTCAATTACTCTACTTAATCCAGACACCCAAAAATGACTGAAATAAAAGAATCCCATTCAAGGGCTTTGGGGACACATGACACAATTCTCAAGCCATTGATTGGGAAGGTCCAGATTTTTTTTTTTCTTCTTCTTCCTAGATCTCCCAGTGTACCACCTGGGTACCACCTGTCCTTTTCAAAAACCCTCTTTTGGCTCTTGACCTTGCTAGCTTCTCAAATCAGCTCTCATATTTTACTTACCAAAGTTTGTGATAGATTAGTCCATAGGAATAGTCTGAAATTCAATACCTGCTAGACAAACACTCGTGATCTCTCTTGCCTCCTATACCATTTTATTGAAATGGTTCTCTCAGCTGTTACTCAAGAGTCAGCCACGACCTTTCCTCCATCTTCCTTGTGACCTCAACAAAACCCTCAACATTGCTGAATGTTTCTTTTCTTTCTTTCTTTTTTTTTTTTTTTGAAACCTCTTCTGCCTTAGCAGCACTTTGGTGTTCCTTCTGTGTTACTGCTCATTCTTGAGTTCTTCACCGTTTTTGTTTTTGTTTTTTTCTTTTCTATTCTGCAGTTCTTTTCTCTTTTAAGATATATTTTTTTGTCTCCCTTTCCCCTTCTCCTTGACAAGCTCACTCACTTATAGGTGTGGCATTCAGTAATACCTCCCTGTTAATGATATCCCAGCCTCCATATTCAGTGTTAACTGATAGCCTAAGTCTGTCTATATTTACAACATTCTCATGGATACAAGTCAAATTCAACATGCTGAAACTGAATTAGTTACCTTCCTCATGAAGTGGTGATTCCACTGTTTGCAATTTGAATATTTCTGGCATCCTAATCATTTCTTACAACTGTAAACTTTAACAATTACTTATGTATCATCACTCCTACCATTACATTTGATAAATTTTGACAATTCTGTCTCTACTAAGTCTTTCAACTGATTTCTTAAACTCCAGATATTAAGATATTCACAATTATATAATCAGACCCCTAAACAACTCTTGCAATCTGGTCTCTTACTGTTCCCTTTGACATGGTTGTATCTTATTTAAATACAATGGTCCCCAATTTCTGCATATTTGTCTCTCACTTTCTCATCCCTGCCTTTTATTTATTTCTTCTTCACTGAAAGCCCTCACCCAGGGCTGGAATCATAATTGTGGAGCCCTTGTTGAATATGTCAGGGTCTTGTTGGAAAGTAGGAAAAGGTACCTTCTGTTAAAGATATTAAAATACAAAACTTTTTATCTTTTCTTTTTATCTCCTCTGCTAGTGCACATGCTCCATTGTCCCACTTGAATTTACCTATAAAACATAAGCTCATGATAAAAAAAACGAGTATGTCAGGATAGAGGGCTGGGGATGTAACTCACTGGTAGAGTAGCTGTCTAGCATGTGTGAGGCTCTGGGTTCAATCCCCAGTACTTGGGAGTAGGAGGGTGGGACACACACACATGAATTTAAGGATGGTGAGAGCAGAACACTAAACACAGGACAGGCCCATGTGACAACCACAGGGGTCACATGAACACAAAGTCATCCTTCCTGGCCTGTATAATCTTGCTCACCCTTCAAAAACAAGTGAAAGGCTGCTTCTGCTGTATAGATGAGGAGGTGTCCACACTCTGAGCCTCTGTTCTACCTCACTAACGGCTGGCAAAGTGCTTCTTCCCTCATAGCACTTTGTTGACTTTTCTGAGAACACTTTCTATGACCCATTAGTTAATAAGTTTCCTAAAAGCAAGAACTACATCTTCATTCATCCTGGAATTTACCATGAACTACATATAATTATTGCTTAATAAGTGTTTGTCAAAAATGTATAAAGAGAACAAAGCAAAAACCACTGTTATTTTGAAACCACATGCAACATTCCCTGAGCTAAGTTCCTTGTTTTTCAGAGCAGGAATCACTGCTAATGCAAAAGTCCAACTTCTCCAGTTGGCTAGCAGTACCTTCTTGTTTTTCTTTTCAGTTTCCAAATTCACTTAAATTATCTTAATATTGTTCTTTTAAAAGGACATTCCTTTTAGGAACTATAATTAAATTTTGGCAATGGGCATATTTTGTAGTTTTTAAACATGTATGAATTCACTTAAATATTTAGATATGAGTCTGTGTTTTCAACTTGTTTTTTTTTTTTTGTCACTAACCTATTCTGATGAAAAAATAAATCTTCTGGAAATATTTTCTACATATTTTAGTTAATTATCTCATGATAATTTCTTTCCTAATGATCTTTGGAAAATTCTATGCATTTAGAAGGTTATCAGAGATCTTCATGGAAAACTGTTTTGAAAAAGAGATTGAACCACTCAATAAGAAACTTAAGCTTCCTACACTGGTGAAATACCACATTACCCTAAGAACTGTAATCCTGTTCACATCCCCCTCACACAGACACACGTATCCATCTTTTCATAAATTTTGAGTTGAAAACTGAGAAAGCTCATTTATGCTTGGGGAATATGCTGCTCTTTTTAAAAAATACACAATAAAGTGGAATAAATTTAAACAGCAAAACATTAATTAAAAAAAATGCACCACAGACACTGCATCACTAAGAAAGCCAGTAACTTTACTGAATTGTCTGCAAAATACAAATTATACCTTATTTCCAGCAGGAGAAACTTTTGAAAATTTCCCACTTTAATTCACTACAGACAGCTGAATTAAGTCCCTTGAGATACACAGATGTGGTTTAACTTAGTTATAACATCTTGTCATCTAGTGGCGACAAAGTCCAGCTTATGCCGCTGTGAGCCTCTATTTGAATATTTGTTGCAAATGCTTGTATGCCCTCATTTACAAGCTATTTTTAATTACTGTCATTTAATGGAAACAAGTCCCCAGAAAAAGAAAAAGAAGAAAAATGATACAGCAAACCATCTGAAGCAATCCAAGTCCTATGCCTACAGTGACCCAGGTCTATTTGCTCTAAGAGTACACCGATGCTGCTTGCAAACCACAACAGAATCCATTACTTAGCTGACCTCTCTGAATAAAACTGAGGTATGAATCAATCTGAGGTATGAACAGGGAAGGCGAAATGCAATACCCGATTATGAAAATAACCAAAATGGACAAATTTAATGTAGAAGATATGTGGCTTGGATTGCTCCACATCTTTGGTTAAAACATATTAAGAAAAGCCTGTAATTACATCTGTAGTCTGAAGCATTCTAACAGACACCAGAATTCCAGCAATCTTCAAAAGATCTGTAGTGGCAGGAAATTAACGCCATACAAGGGACGACATCACAGCAGATGGCACAAACGAGAACAGATGAAGTATGCCATGCTTAGGCAACAGCCTTTATTGAGGGTTCAAGTGGCTTCTTCTTCAATTTTTTTTTTAAAGAAAGAAATACAAAGCATTTACTCTCCGAAAAAACAAACCAAAAGGGATAAAGGAGCAAAAATGCTATCTCTAAATTAAAAGATAGGTATGTAAGAAAATAAATATGTAGAAGTGTGAGAGGGCAGACATTCTTTTCAAAAGTGTATTGGGATTTTTTTAAAATGCTCATTTTAGTTAACCTTTAAATGATCTAAGGATGACAGGTATTTTCATATTCATTATTACAAAATGTTAAATTCCATCTCTGGGAAAAATAAGCCATTTTACTAAAAAGCAGTTTTAAAAAGATTGAAATGAACAGCCTCCACACACCAATGCATACAATATACAGGTTGTGCAGCTTGTGAATACTGCATCGCTGTTTCCAATTTTTAAGCTCAATATTACCAAAAAAAATCTTTTAAGATAGGATTAGGTATAACAATACTTGAAGCTGTGTAAAATGCCACTTATGGTCTTTTGCTTGCACTTGCAATGAAGAATGTTGTCTAAAATGTTGCTCTAGGACAGGTAATGTAAAGTAATACTTTCTCAGGGCGCTGCCCTAACTCCTGGATACAAAGGATTTACTGTGATAAAAACCATACTAACTTTGCAAATACAATAAATGGTAAATTACAGAAAAGGCATAAGGGTAAATATAGACAGTGATTGTTTACAGAAAGTGACGCTCACAATCAAAAATTGTGCTTCTTCTCATTAAATCATCTTTAAAAAATTTTCAGATTATCCCTTCGCTATCTTGCTACCACTTTATATGAATTCAATAGTGGGAACAAGAGATGACTGGCATCCATTTTTGAGTGATTCTGTTCTTTTCATGTTCTTATAAAACTATTGTCAGAACTGCTATAAATAGCCAAGGCTTCTGCTAGTACTTTAGCTTACTTTATCTTCAGCGTTAGAAATTCACGTTTTCTTTGTTGCTGAGGCAAATTTCAGGTAAAAAATTAATATGGCTATTTCTTCATATTTTCATATAATGACCCCTCCCCACCCACTTGTAAGATTCTACTGATATTGATAGATGAAGTGTTTTGAAATGACAAAGAACATTTGTGATATGTTTGCATATTTAGTACACATCAAGTTATAAGGGTAAGTTATAAGGATGGGATCAAGTTTATGGTGAGGAAAATGATTTTCTTACTCTTTCCCCTGTATGTTTGTGTATGTCCGTGTGCATACACGAGTATGTATATTTTCAGGGTTGATTTTGTTTTTTTCCCTATGTTCCATGGATACCTTTAGTAGTGGGATATTATGAAATGATTGATTTTTTTTTGTTTTTAGTATACAAAACATTAGTACAAGGCAGGCTAGCATCCTATTTGGATACAACCAAAGGTGCATTGTGGTCTAATTATGGACTGCAGATCAAGTTAAGAAAAATATAGCCTCGTTAATAAGGTCTCTTGGCTTCTGCCACCCAGCGGCAGCCTTTTACAATCAGAAACACATAACAACTATGCAAGTAAGAGAAAAAAAAATAGGTAAGAAATGTCCTACACATGATATAGCAGTGCTGATATTACTGTCTATATCTTCTTTGCTGTGTATGTCAATGTAAATGATTGGAGATGAATCGACAGATCTTCACATTCCAAGAGAAGGTAATCATTCCTGGACTGAAATATCTTTTAAACAATATATATTGACTTTTTATGGCACTCACTTTTTGAAGGGTCTGAAATTAATCCCTTATAGACGAATATTAGACAAGAGTTATATTTTCTTGAAAATTAAAAAAAGGGACATAGGATCTTTAATGGGATTTCTTGAAATGGCTATTAAATCTCTTTATTGAAGAAAAAATAGATGACATACATGCTTTATGCAGAAGTGACATTTGGGGGTCCTGACACACCGGGATTGTTCAACAGTCCTATATTGCTGACAAGATTGTTAAGGGTCAGTTAAAATAATTAAAAATGGGTGACAAAGCAACTATCCCTTTACCTGCTTCCCTCTTGTCTAGCACCCAGGCTTTCACATTTTTCTTCTGTGGGAATTTATAACTCATTCACCAAGTAAACTCCATTTCACTTGTTTCTGGGGCTGTATTTGCAGGACATGTGCCCCAACACAGCTTCTCTATTCTGGGCATATTTCTAAGACACACATCAAATTCTAGGCTGAAAACCAACCATATACTTTAGGATATGGGCAAGTTAGGATATGCACTTACTGAATTCCAAGATGCATGGTGAAATGGTGAGATCAGAAAGGGGCCCTGCATTTGATAAAAATGCAAAAAACAAAAACAGCATGAAAGAAACTAATTAGTATATACAATGGATGTCAGTTGACCCAATAGATTGTTAATGTATTAAAAACAATTTAGAGTGTTGCAATGTGATATGTTCTAACCCCACAGGTTATCCTTTTGACAGCTGACCTTGAACTTATAAAATGTATGCAGAGTAAAAGAAATCAGAAAGAAAATAGTTACTCAAATGTGCAACTGCACAAATATACCCCCCTCCCGCTATTAAGATAACAAAACTTCTGCTATTACCATAATATTATATATATTAGAAAGCTATACACAAGCATGTTAATTTCACAGATTTTTTAAAAGATTCTTAATATTTTATATAATTAGAAATACACATTTCAAAAACAAAACTTCTACAAAGAGAAAACAGTTATCTTGGTTAGCAAAGCATGGAGTTCCTCATGGCTTAGGGTAGTGCTTTCTATACAAAAAGTCCTTTTTGGTTTTTTACAGGACTGTTTAAAATATCAGCGAAGCTATCAAGGGGAAAAAAACACATTTTGGCTTAAGTAAACTACAAAAAGCCACAAATGCTTTGCAAACTCTGTCTTACCTTTTATATGAAAATAAGCAAAATGTAATGTACATATTTTTATATTTTTATTTAATAAGAGATGCAGACCCAGATTTATTTATTTATTTAATTAAATACGTTAGCTCTCAAACTCCACTTTTTTTTAAAAAATAGGTATGGTCCTCTTTTAATGGTCTTTGATCCTTTTTAATGAGTGCCATACGCCAATGAGACACCTGCAGGTTTGTGAGCGTGCTCGGGATGTTAGGTGACCAGACATGTTCCTAATATTTGCCAGTGGCCACCCATTGCCGGGTCCGTCCAAACTTCTATACATTTTTCTATATGTTGCATAACAGCTGCTCTCTTTTTCAGTAAAGATCTGCCGCTTTTGGCAAATGTTTCCTTGTCTATTTACATGTAAATAACGTTGAACCTGCAACATGACACTATCTATTGTAACATACATTTTGCAAAGGAGCACAACAGTGAAAAGAAATTAGCCTTAAAATCTATTTTGTACAAGTGTTCTGTTGTACAACTCAAGTGCTAAGCTTATCTCAGCATTTCTGTTTATCTTTATACTGTATCACTGAGGCAATTTAAAAGTACTTTTACAAAACAGAGTACCTGACTTTTTTTTTTTTTCCACACACGGCACATATAATGCATATCGACCCCCCTTCCCCATTAAGGTATAGCACACACACACACTGCAAGAAAAAAAAAAACTATTAAGTAATAATGTGATCATGTTGCCCATCCTTCAGAGAGTCGCATGCGCTTGACTGAGGGACTTTCCCTTTCGTCCGGCGAAGGTCTGGTGAGTCCAATGGGGGAGTGGAATTCATTCCGGTGATCCTCTCGGTCGCTCCCGTCGTAGGAACTGCTACAGCTGCTCAAGCTGTCAACAGGAGATCTCCCCGCCTCGTGGCGCGTGTGTTGTGGGTATCTCGAAGGGGTGGTGGTACGGTCTCTAGGAGGAGAAACAGGTTCTGACTTGATGTTGAGGCTTTGAGTAGAAGGCAGGGAGAGATTTGAACTCTGAGATAAATGAGTGCTAGTGCAAGCTCTGTAGGAGGAAAGGAAACCCAGTTACAGATGGAGGAGGCCTGGAGGCCCCAGGAACTCACAATTACATAACACATCAGCTTAAAGTCTCCCTTAGACACCAGAGCATGCCCAGAGTGAGGAGTGCGGTGAAGCACTTAGGGCATCACTGCCTGACAGTGAGGCAGGAGGTCTTTGTCGATTCACAGTACTAGCTGGGCCAGGCTTCATGAGTCACTTCTCTAGTTTCTGACAGTCTCCCTAAACTTAGAGGTTACTGTTTCAGAAGGGCTTAAGAACATGATGGAAAAAACATTCTGTGTCCATGGGATTTCTCCCTCCACTAATTCCAAATTTTAATTTTCTAAGGCTTTAAGAGACCCTGTTTTATCTTTGCATGAGACTTTCTTGATTTACTAAAGTCTGCGTTTGAAAATTATTGTGAAAACCTTGTGATCAATATAAACATTTCCTTCCAACAAATGAGCACTTATTAAATGGAGTTACACAATCTTCAGCCAAAGTCAAGAGAGTTCAAATTTCAGGTGATAGAACCCATTTAATGCTACACAATACCCATAACTCAGGACAAGCCTCAAAGTAGGGAAAGAGGAAGGAGGAAGGAGACTAAAAATTATCAGCAGAAATTTCAAATATTGGCTTAAAAATGAACTTTCTACTGCACTAAAATTGATAAATAATTAGACGTTCTTCATCCTTTCAGTTACATGGGATGATAATACCATTTTCCACAATGCCCATTTTCCACAATGCCCTCAACTTGACTACTGACAGTCGCTCTCTGATGGCATACTTAGGTTACTGTTCCTTTTATTTATGATTGGCCTTAATTGATGAATCTGGTGTTGCTTAAGGAAAGATTGTTGCAAAGAAGGATGTAATGTGATTTTACTGTGTTTATGATACTTAATCCTCATTTATTCCCAGAGAGTATAATTTTCCCTTCTTCCAAAATATGAGAGAATTTAAATACTTAGAATTCTAGAGAGAAAAGCATTAAGCCCTTCAGTGTAGATTAGCAATCACAATGAGTTTGATCAGGATAAACTGTGGTTACATCGCCAGCATCAATTCTGAGATGCGTTTATTGTTCTTACATTCTGATTGCATTGACTTCCATGGCCAGAGTCAGCATTACTTGACCATATTGTCAAAGAGTACAGTAATCTCTTTTACTGAGGAAGAGTCACAGTACAGAATTATCTATACAGACACACCCATTTTAAACAAAGGAAAGCAAGCCTACCTAGTAATGTATGTAATTATGCTGCTTTCCAGTGGAGAGAATTGGATGGCATTAACAGTGTCATTACGAGCACTGAGAGAATGGGTATATATTTCAGAGAAAACAGTGGAGTGACTTGGGGCTCGCTTTTGGGAGATGCCATATAGGCTCAAGATACATAAAGAAATAAAATTAGTCAGAAACGAGTTTATCTTTGAGTGATGTTTTATACGAAAGCACCACCTACTGGCAAAGAATTACTTTCCTTCTCTTATTAATAGATGAGTTAATGTAGAGAATAATATGGAGAATTATTTGCTTCTTTAATAAGCCTTTCTTTCTCTGATTTTCTGATCTTGTCAAATCAAAACAATCTTAGCCCTCATATCAAGATTCTACTTTATTTGTACTTAGAGCTATTTATTTCTAGTTTATTATTTTATAGTCTATATTAGTTTACTAATTTTCTCTGAATTTTAATTAGATAATCTGAATTAAGAAGATATTAAGATGGGGGAGGAAATGAACACTTGTATTTCAAAAAGATGTATAATGGTGGACTATTTTTTCTTGGTTTAAAGTTACTTAATGATTCATTTTGATGTTAGAGAAAAATCATCAATTGATTTTTGGAAGAAATAATTTTCCTGGTTCTGGGTAAGAAAGACTATTTTGCTAAAATTTGATTAAGTGATTCTACTATGGATCATATAACTGTTTAATAATGAAAGTCAATTAAGATCCTGAAAATAATGCTGCATATCAAAATACTTTTGTTTGCCCTTTGACATTTATATTGTGTCTTCCCAGGCAAGGTTAAAAATTTAAAATTTTGGTGAGTTGGACCAGTGTTAAGAAGTTAATTTAGATAATATAGTAAAAAATTTATATATAACATAATAATAATGACAGTTTTTGGAAGCTGCATTCTCTACTTATTCGATTTGTCTCCTAAAGCCAACTGGTGTGTATAGTTGAGCTGCACCTCTCTTCCATAAAAGATGGAACAGTTATTGATGATCTTTTCCCATAAACAGAACAACCTGTTTATCTTTTGGTGGCATTTCACTTGACACTGAAAGTATACACAAGCTGAGTAGTTTTAGGGACTAACTCTACAGTCATGAAAGGTAATGGCTATCTCAGACTAAGTTTCATTATACTGTATTAAAGAGACAAAACAGAATGCCTAGTCTCTGTTATTAAAGAAGTATTTTCTTGAAAAGAAAAGGCAGCATTAAAATCACTTAATTGTCTATGTGATACATTCAGATGTAAATGTGTAGGCCTACTTGTTCTTGAGAACAAAATATAAATAATTGTTAAATATTTCATATGTGTGGCTGGGGGCTGAAGAGGTTGGTGAGGAGAGAGAGATCAGACACTTAAGTTGCCTGTGTACCTTCACAGTTGCCTGTGAACGTTTCTACCTAGTATGGATGCCTTTGAATTGGAGAACACCTACCCTTCCCCTAAATTGTTCAGAAATCAAATGAGTGATAGTTTTATTTAAATTTTATATTCTTACCCCCTGGAATTTAGACAATCATAGTATAATTAACCTAACCTTTGAAGACTTGTCTCTACTCAAAGTTATCGCTCTCAGTATGTACTGAACACCAACATCAATGAAGTCAGTGTGTGGAAACGGTTCCAGGAAACAGGTTGCCCTCCCCCATATACTTTTAAGCATTTTTTCCTCACAATACCTTTGTTCTATTTATTTATTTTTATGTGGTGCTAGGGTCAAACCTAGGGCCTCACATGTGCTAGGCAAGCGCTTTACCATTGAGCTACAGCCCCAGCCCCTAGGTTGCCTGTTTTTTGAGGTGGTAGTTGAGAACAAAAATCTTGAGGGTCATTTTCTCAAATATGGTAAGCATCTCTGACAGATATGTCTTATCCTATGTAAAATAAATTTTTGATGCTTATGTAACTTTGTAATAGAAAATCAGATACTAGATAGTTTTTTACAAATATATCTTTGAAGTCACAAGCTTAAGACCAAAGAGCTCTTTTCCACTGATAAACTATAAAGAGCTCTACTATACTATGGGAGTTTTGAGAAAGAATTATTGTACTCATCTTGGGTTGCTAGGAATATCTACTTTGGTAGAGGTAAAAATCTTTTTCATTCTTTTCTTGGAACACCCTATTTATCCAAAAGAATGAGGCCCAAACACAAGTTTAAGAGACTACTTGGACTGAAAACACATCAACTCCTCATTGATTTACACCGTAAAGAATTAAGGCAGATCATGTAATTTATTTACAAAAATATTGCAACTTGCAGTTTTCTAAAAACTAGTGTAGTCTGGCATGGTGATGCATACTTGTAAACCCTGTAACTCTGGAGGCTGTGGTAGGAGAATTGTAAGTTCAAGGTCAGCCTCAGCAATTTAGGCCCTATAAGCAACTTAGCAAGACCCTGTCTCAAAATTAAAAAAAAAAAAATTTAAAAAGGGCGGTGGAATTAGCTTAGTAGTAGAGTACACCTGGGTTAAATCCCCAGCACCAAAAATAAAAATAAATAAAAAATAGCTTAACACTTAATTGTGTGAGTAAGGGATAGTCCTTGAAGGAACTCACTTTCAAAAAGCTACTATGCAGGTTTGTGTGTGAGAGAGAAGTGTGAGAAAGTGTGTCTGCATGAGAGAGAAGGACCAGCAAGGGAAGGAATGTAAGGGTCATTCTACTGATGTGAGGTATAAGGGAAATGAAATTAAAACTCCTAGACTAAAATCAGGGTCAAATTATGCACAATGCAGATCAGTGTTGAAAGAAAACTTGAACTGAATAAATTCTTCTACTAGAATCAAGGATGAATTAGATTCTCCTCATGTAATAGAAGAGAGCTTTAAAATTGTAGTATAGTTAAAATATGTGAATAAATATCTGTTTGTAAGTTAAAAGGCATAATATCAGATGTTATTAAAAAACAAGAGAAAGGCCCATCAGATAATATTAAATGGTTTTTGACATTGGCCATGTCTAGGGAAATCTAGCACTATAATGGATAAGTTTTGTGAAAATGAGAAATAAACATTTCCCCTTAGTATTGACAATAAGCTTGCACACTGGACTCAATGCTAAGCCATGGAGGTACAATGCCACTTGTATAGTTTAATTAATTTATTTTTTGGTACTGGGGTTGAACCCAGGAGTGTACTACCACTGAGCTAAATCTCCAATCCTTTTAATTTTTTTTTTTAAAAAATATGATATAGGGTCTTGCTATGTTGTCCAGGCTGTCCTCAGACTTGCAATCCTCATTTCTCAGCCTCTTGTGTAGTTAAGATTACAGATATGTACAGCTGGGCCTGATACCCATACACATTGTAAAACTGCCTGGATGGTATTATGTACTTAGTGATAATTACCTGAAAAAGTTACTGCAATTAATGTCTATTCAGATAGTATTTGAGAGAAAATTTAGATGTCTTACAAAGAGAAACTCTGTTGCTGATCATAATTAATACAGCTTCATCTTTAATGATATTTCTAGATAGTAGAGTAGCACTTTATTATTTACATGGAAAGCTAGATTTTCAATGACAGTGATTAGTGAGATGGATATAAGCATATGGTGACTGGGTGAAGACTCCATCATTGGATCACTATCTGTGTAACATCAGCACTACATGAAAGCTAATTGGGGGGGGGAGTGAGCAAGGTAAGAGAAGTGAAGTTGTATAATATAAATTAGTGACTTTTATTCTAATCAATGGTTTATTCTCACTTCCATAACTAGTTAACTATAGGTAACTATAACCAAATGGCTCAGAAGAAAAGCAAAAGTGAGCTAGGCATGTAGAAAGTTTCTACAATATAAAAATTCAACTTTAATTATTTTATATCCTTCCTCCTACCATTTCCTTTTGAAGATTCACTGCCATTTTAGAGTTAGATTTTAAGTCTGTTGCTCAGTTGATATTTTAGTTTTGAAATCTTTTGTTTTATAATAAGTACCGTGAATTGTGACTTTAGGGCTTTTTTAAGGTTTGAATGCTTCCATAGGTAAATGACAAGTCATTTCTATGATAAAGACATATCTCAATATTACCACAAGGGGGCAGAAAGACACATCTTTGACCAGAAAAGACCAGAAATTTTTTTATACCCTCATTTCTAATTAGTATTGTATGTTTTTAGTATCTATACATACATTTTAAATAAAATATCTATAAATACACACGTGTTCTATGAGTATAAATATATGAAACCTATATGTTAACTGAATAGTTGATCCTATGAATGTTAGGTTCACATTAGCATAAACTATGTGGTTTATGTTCAATGAGAAAGAATTGCAAATGTCTCAAAAACTCAAAGAACTCAACTATATATGCTTTCAAACTTCCCTCAATAACTGTATGGAAACTCAACTAAATAAAAATTCCATCACTGATGTAAGTGGAAACAGATATAGCCTAAAACAATAAGGACATGATTTATCTCTTTACAGAGCTCCCCGTCTTCTTAAAGCATACGGGATATAATATTTACGCTCCTTGAGAGTTATTAGTCTGAAAATTACTTTTATATTTCTACAAAGTAGAATTTTACACTCTCTAATGGGACATGAAAACATACATTTAAAGATCGCATTTGTCATTTAAACACAGATTCTAGAGTTATACTATGAAAGAAATGATATTGCTTACCCCAACTGACTGAGGGCGGATGGTGGCATGTTATGTAGGTGTTGCTGTTGCCAGCCAGTTACTGAACCAAGATGAAGAGCACTGGCAGTGTTAAACCCAGACAGAGATGACAGATCTGCACTACTCAGAGAATACTCTAGAGAGAGAGAGAGAGAGAGAGAGAGAGAGAGAGAAAATTTAATTTGAAAATTAGCAAATGGTAAATAAAATTAAAGATTTTCAATTTCTAAATATTCTTGACTTGGATCAAATTTTTTGATCTGAGAGAGGGAGACAAAACATCAAGGATAATTGTCACTTAACAAGAATATATTTTTCACCAAAAATAAGTATTCCATGAAAGCCTTGAAATAGTGTAGTCTGAAATTCCAGTTCACTACACTACAACTGGTTTAACAGCAATTACATATTTTAGTGATCTAGAATTTTTTTAAACAATCCTGAGAAAGTGAGCTTTTTATTGCATCAAATAAATAACAGCTCAATTTCCTTGACTGTTCTTCTATTTGGAATTCAGGTTGGGCAAATAAAACTTTCAGTCATTTAAGAAAAAAAAATGTGGATGTTCATTTTGTCTTAGTAAACACAAGTAATGGCACAGTGCTCTGGGTACCACACGTGCTAGACAGAACTTTGTAGTAGGGTAAAGATAATAACTTTTTCGTCTTTCTTTTTAATAAAAATATTTAATGTAATATTTAAACATGGCAAAGCTACTCACCGGTACCATATGTTGTTGAAATGGCTGATGGATATCCTCCCATTCCTTGTCCTGGTAAAGTAGGAGTTGCTACGGAAACCACTGGGGTAGCCAATGACTGAGCAGACTGGGAGTTATTTATCCTTTGATTCTTTTAAAGTAAAAAAATATATATATATATTACCAATGGAAAAATTTTAAAAGTTAAAAATATTAGATTTCAGTATTAGTTTTGCACATAAAGAGATAACTTGATACAAAGCTCATGAAATTAATCATTTAACATGTGTCTCTATGAACTCTGCCAACCCTATCATTTACAATCCTTCAAGAGACCAGCTGTTGCCATAGTAACCCATTACATCAGTATCTCCTAGGCAACTGAACTAGTAACAAGTACCATAGCTTTATTATGGGTAAAAACAGACTATGTTGAGAACTGATGAAATATGTATACTGTACTTCCATTGTTTCAGTTTTTATTCAAATGCAAATTTAAAAAAAATTAAAATCAACCATGGTAGGTTTTATGTTCAGCTCTATGTACAACAGAGACAAGACAGGTAAAGGTTCATGTTATATTCTGACCAGCAGGTGGTGCTCTGACCACTTTCTTCAGATTGTTCTAAACTTCCCTCAAACTAGGTGGTAAAGCAGCCAATGCCTATATTTAACTCCTTATAGCAAGGAGATTAAAGATATTCATAAACTTAAGGCACTTAAATTTTTTGAAAAAGAGTATTTTAATTTTAGTTTTAAATAACAAAAGAAATACTTTGTGTGTTGAAATTTTTAAGTCTTAATATACTGAAAATATGGCCTCCAGTTACAGAGGTTGAAACAGAAAAAAATAATAATAACTAGACATTCTTTTCACCTATGAATGGTACTATAAATTAGTGGCACTTTACTATAATCGATGTGAACACATTATATTAAGCTTCAAAGTCTATTTTATTTTATATTTTAATTTTTTATTTGTTCTTTTTAAGATAAATATGACAGTAGAGTGTATTTTGACATAGTATACATACATGGAGTAAAACTTATTCTAATTAGGATTCATTCTTGTGGTTGCTTCTATTTTATCAGAGCTACCACCTTTACCTCAAAGCAGCTCTGGATATTTCTGAAGGGAAGTGTTCTCATCACTTACCAAAAGCAGGTCAACATCCTCAGACTGAGAGCATGGGAAAGGAGTTTTATTAATTAGTGTCTGTAAATATTTATAATTGGGCAAAATCTTTTCAACAAAAGGAAAAGCATCTTCTGATAGACACAACAGTTTAAACAGACTTAAAACCCAGACTCCAAAGATAACTCCTTACAAAGGCATTCTTTGTTTCCTTTAATGAGGTGTTTGTCTCAAATGTGAGGACAATCTATCTAGTTTTCAGTACAGGTCAGTGTCTCAATGTTCATTATATCGCCACCATGTTTCGAACAAAAAAGACTGCACTTTGAAACCCTACTTGCTGGAGGAGGAGGAAGCCACACCTGGCTGCCAGAGAGAGACCTGACAGGCCACTCACAGAGTCCCTGGGAAAGCATCAGTTTTAAGGGACCTGAAATAAATCTGCTGAGACAGAGAGCCTGCCATGCCTGGCCCACACTGCTTAGCTGTAGCCCTGTGGGAGGTTTTATTTATTAGACCTAGTCTTTTCCAAAGGGAACATTGAATATTATGTGATTTTTTTGGTTGATATTCAAAATTAATCTGCACTGTGCCATAATAAACTAATCAGCTCACAGGACTGTTTTACCCTGAAGCTTTCCACCGAGGAGAGAGAGAGAGAGAGAGAGAGAGAGAGAGAGGAGAGAGAGAGAGAGAGAGAGAGAGAGAGAGAAAGAGAGAGAGAGAAGAAAAGAAATGTAGAAATGTGTTTTCAGAATGATCTAATTTTTTCTACTGGATCTTTAAACAATCTCGCTCCTAAGCCTAGATAATTTGGAGAACACTGATATAAGCCTCTTTGTTGTTGAGTTTGTACCCACAATGTGCTCTTCATCTTAGGCACACAGACCCATGAGATAGAAAAATGACAGGATCTGAGAATATAATATATATTTAAATTCATATTACATATCTATTTATTTATTTTTCCTTAGAAGTCCAACAAACTCTTGTGATGAAGCATAACCTTGTTCTCAAAATGTCTACGGTTTTAACAGTTTGCTTTTGAGCTAACAGTTGTTTTCATGAAGAATATACATGCAAAAATGAACTGAGACAGTACACAGGCATGCGATGCATTAGGTATTAACACTGCAATATGTCTAAGACAGAAATTGCCAGTCAACAAGAAAAGTTCGTTTAAGAATTATGGGATTTTTCATTGTCAGAACCTTGAGGACATAAATAACTAAATATTGTAAAAATACTAGGCTATGAAATACCTCATTATCTATCATTCTGTTTATGGAATGTTATGATTTGACCAAAGTTAGAGCTTGATTTATTTTTTAACTATAAATTGGGAACCTTAAAAAAATGTTGCTCCAGAAGAATGTAGTCCTATAGAGAAGTTTACTAGATTTTTTTTTTCTTTTTCTTTCCAACATGGAGAGGGCAAATGCCAACCAGTTACTAGAAGTAACAGCTCAATAAATCAGGGTTCTATAAATATCATTAAAACCCTATTAGATAATAGTGTTAATTATTTGAGAGAACTTAATTCATAAAGTTAGACAAGTACTAAAACAGTAAAACATATACAAAACATCATCAACGTTTATTTAAAATATAGTTTTGCATTACCACTGATGGCATCGTATTCTTGCTGCCAGGTGGAATAAGGACTCGGAGATCTGGTTTACGGTTATTCATTCCTAAATTCATGGGGGGAGGAGATTTTGCTTGCATATTCTTGTTCAAGTTACCAGGTGAGACCAGCAGACCTGGTGAGTTTCGGGGATTACCATACCCGTTCCCTGTTAATACAAAACAGTGATACCATTCATATAGAAATCTAGACTCAAACATGTTTCTAAAGACTGTGCTATGTGAGAATAAAAATAAAAGCTAATGGTAAGACATACAGATACACACACGGAAAAAAAAAAAACATTGGATGACTGGTTTGGCCTCCGTGTAAAGAGTAACCCAATCATTTAATTATTTAATATTCCTCTGAATGAAGATTAAAACCCTTTTATGAGAAAAGAGCTTATATACATTGACTGGCTTGGAAATCAGCATATAATTTTTTTTCTATTTAAAAAATTCAGGAAGATAGTCAGACAGTCCTTCAGGGTCTAAGAAAAGCACAGAACTGGTCCTGCACTTTAATTGACTAGTTTGGTGGAGGCCTGGCTGGCGTGACTCACTCTTTCAGCTCATCGGTTTGGCTTTTATTTTGTGTATGTGTGTGTCCTTAAATGAAGAAAGGGCAGCAAGATTGTAATTTCTAGGATGTGCTGGGGGAGGGGAAGCCACTTACACATCTTGCTCTTCAGTTCCCCTTTTTTCTGGAAGTGAATACTCCCTATGGCTTTTCCTGCATCTGGTGTGCCCTCCTCACTAAGCAGTGATAACCCTGCAGCCTTGCCAGGATTTCCTGCTCACACAGATCTTTGAAAAGCAACTCCTCCTGAGGAGCTGAAGTGAAGCGAGGGCGCCTCCACTCAAGTTCTGGTTCACTAGGTGCAGGAAGAACACAGAGGAAGACCAGAAGGACTCTCTCAGGATTCTGTTTAGCTCCCTACTAATAGACGAGTGGGTATCTGAAGGCCTCCATTTTTCATATTCCGTGACAGGAAGAGCTACAGAGGTTGGCTGGAAATGTTACCTGAGCTGGAATGAGAGCTAACTTAGAAAGTCATGTGCTGGCTTCCTGCACGGCCCCTGACAGGAGAGTAAGACAAAACCAACTACTTGGTTCATGATGCTCACCAGGAAAGGAGACAGTTGCTTTCTGAGGCTCCAAAGGAGGCAGTTAAACCTCACTGTCACATTATCATCATCACAAATCACAAGTATCTCTTACTCCTGGACCAAAGACACTGTGTGCTATCCAGCGAGGAGGCAAGGACAGGGCTCCAGTTTTGAAAGGCCCTGAGCCTCCTTTGTGGTAATCCAGAAACCAAGGAACACACCCGACTGAGACAAGGCAGCCTAGTGTGAGGTGCTCACAGAGTAATTCTGATTAAGTTTTATTCATTTCCCAGGAGGGAAGAGGTTATCCAATAAAGATTCATGAAAGAGGAAGGAATTGGTGTGGGCCTCAAAAAAAAGGGCAGGACACAGGAATATAATGTTAAACTTGTGACTAAGTGCTGAGGAAGGACTGAGGGAGGAAAGTTAAACAGCACAGGCGGGGACACTGTGAGCAATCTGTTTAAAAGGGAACCCACGAAAAAAGAGGGTTCTTTGAGGACACGGATGCTGGGCCGTGGAGACCTTGAATTCCAGGGTGTATATGGTGGAAGTGAGACCCACCAGAGCTTTAGAGCAGAGGAATAGTGCAGGCCTCTCAGAATTAGGGAGGTCTGGTGGTGTGGACCCGTCTGGAGACCTACTGTGATGGCATGAGGTAGAGACAAAGAAGAACTGGAAAAGCAAAACATAGATCTGTTTCAGGAGAAATCTGAAGAAATATTTTTGAATTAAAGTATATTTGAGGCTCATTGCCTATAGCATATTTGTTCCTCATATCCAAATCACTTACCTGTCTCATTTCATGCATGAATGAACAGGCTGAACATATAACAAATAACTGCAGTATTAAATCTGTCAATTGGATTACATATACAGTTTTCCAAGTTATGGGGGAAACAAATACTGCCCCCCAACATGTGTTGAGTACACAGTCATTGCTTAAGATATGTTCATTGATGTTTAATGTAAATTACTCTTCTAAAACAAAACTTGAATAATTAGCTAAGGTTTGGAGCCAGGCACAGTGACCTTCACCTATAATCCCAGCAGCTCAGGAGGCTGAGGCAGGAGGATGGCAAGTTCAAAGCTAGCCTCAGCAACTCAGTGAGGCCCTGAGCAACTCAGTGAGACCCTGTCTCTAAATTGAACATGTGAAAAAGGCTGGCAATGTGTCTTCCTGGTGAAGCACCCATGAGCACAATCGCTGGTACCCCCCAAAATAAATACATAAAAAGAAAATTAGCTAAATTCTCTATGGCCAGCTAAATTTATAAAAAAACTAAAATGACCAGATAGTTAACTTAGACAGCATTTTGGTGGCAAAAGATGTTATATGAAACAATACATTTAACCTTTTTGCATCAGGAAAAATAAAGACAAGACTGTAAGAAAAAACCCTTGATAAATTGGAATGGTCAGAGTATTTTTATATTTAACATGTTTTACTGAATCATAATTGTGACTATGTTAGGGTCTTAGTTTGAATTGATAGATTCTACTGGATAAGAAGGGAAATGAGGAAACCAATAAAATTAGTATTATACTTTCCCGTCAGCCGAAGTTCAGACAGACACGCTGAATACATGTGTCACTTACATATTAAGCCTGCGTGAGATCTGGTTTAAATAAACAATCAAATGGAAAATTAGCTAAGTAATTTCAAAAGAAGAAGGAAAAAAATAGTCAGTTAAGCAGTGCAATGAAGCTTGAATAGATCAGAAGAAACTGAAGCCCCGGCTCCGTAGATGCCGATACTGGTTTGCATGGAGGAGTTATTTTGCTAAAAGGAAGTAAAACCGCTTCGTGAAATGTGTTGTCCTGTGATATGAGAAGCACTGGGCCAGTGCACGAAAATGGAAATGTGTCACAGAGGTTCTGAAGAAAGTTTCTTTAAAAAAAACAACAACATTTTTCTGCAGTATACTTACTGAGAAATTCCAACAAAGCCTACGTCTTTTTGGCCTACATTTTAAACAATGATTGGGGCAGCAGCAGGGGGGAAAAACATACATCAGTTTTTCATCCGATTAATACCTCAAAACTAAAAAAACTGATTTAAAAAGCATTCTATTTCTGGAATATTTTTGGATATTTTTTGTTATTTGGAAATCATGCCATTTTAGAAGATTAGGCACATATTTTAAGGTGTTTACATATTCAATGTAAAATATTTTGAACCATGATGACACTTCTTAAATTCATATTTTTAGAGCATAAAGTTATTTTTAAGAACAAAAAAAATTTCTGCTTTTTACGGCTGAAGTTCTGCTGTTTTTAGCATATTGTGCCAGCTAGCATTTTGGAGCCGTATAATAACCATTTCTGTTTCCAGCCACCAAATTGTTATTCTTTTGGCATAATATAGATTCAGGAATGCAAGACTGTGGATCCTAAACCAGTGATATAGAAACCTATCATTTGAAAATCAATGATGAATACATGCGTGTGGTTTACTGCTAAGAAGAGGCTGCATTTAAACCGGCTGGGCAACCGCAGACTCCTCCTCACTCAAAATGCTGCGGCCTGTGTGGAGGCTGTTGTCCCACCTTAAGATAAATTCACCAGAGAGAATGGTCTCATTTAAATTCAGGGGTCGGGAGGTGGGAAGCTCCACCTCTCAACAGCCTTCTAATATACAGATTCAACCTTTCTTCATGCTGTGTTTTAAAATTACCCTCTTTCTGGACAATTATCAATTTAGACGTGACTGTATGCAGATGTCACATTCTTCTGACCACTTAAAAGCACAAAAATTATAAAGCATGAGTGAATGGATTTCCTGACTACAGATTTTATATATATATATATATATATAAAAGAGGTACAGACCAACTGTACAGTTAAATGAAGCTTTTATAGTTTCATTTGATTAAAAATATCATTTCATTAAAAAAAACACAACTTACACATTCACGGCATGACTTACATAAAGGAATCTACTTCTACTGGCTACAAGTTTGTAAACATTAAAATTAGTGTAAATACTCCAGGACTTCAAATATGGTGTTAGGAGAAAAAACTTTTTTTTTTCTTTCCACGGTTAACTTGCAAACACTTGCCTCCCCCTTTTATTGACTCCTATTTTAAGAAGCTGTAAATTCAAAGAACGTATTCCTGGCTTAAGATATTATGAGGACGGCGTTTTGCCTTGTCTTACAGAGCTCAATTGAGCATGTAGCTCTCTTTGAGCCTGTGGCTCTAAAACTTCCTTTTATTTGGATGTTTGGGCATTATGAGTCTTTTCATTTGTTGTTTCTTTTCCAAGACTTTCAATTATAAATACAAGCACATAAAACTAAATAAGCACAAAACTGAAACTAGTCCTTAAGGATCGTGTCTAATTTTTTCACTGGCATAATCTTTTAATCTCACAAATTGCCCACTTTGACCATTCCTTCCGTTCTTCCTCCATCTCCATGCCCAATGAATCCCAAATCTTGCTACTTTTTCTTCAAATTACTCATTAACATTTTGAAAATGTTAAATTCAGACATTGAGGGTCTCTTCTCTTTATGATACCTATCTCCATCTTCATGGCTTTCATCTCCATTTGACTGCTTTTCAATAACACCCCATCTGGTCCTGTGGTCCCTAGTTAGGGATTCTTCACCAGCCTCTAAGATGGACTTCAGGAGGGTGTGAACTTCCTATAGCTTTATGCAACTTCTGTGATTATATGTGATATTAACCCGTCTACCCAGGGGAACCTTTCTAAATTACCACTTCCAGCATATTACTTTTTCAAATAGCATTTAACACAGTTGGGTCAGTGCCCTGTCTGGCTCTCAGGACTGTCATAGTTGACCCACTCTCTCTATCTAATCCAATTTCCAATGGCCAAAGTCAGGTTGACAGTCCTCTGAATATGCCCTAGTCTTTGCTCTAGCAGTTCAATAACCGGCAGTGTTCACTTTCCTGTTTAATTCAAATTCATCTTTTAAGGATCAGCTATAGTTCCAACTCTTTCATGATGCCTTTCAGACAACTTCAGCCCACACTGAACTCACTCTCCTCTAAACTCCTGCTGCAATTAGAGGCAGGGATACTGTACAAA